CAACCCATGGTTAGGAGGGGCCCCAGACCATCCCATGCATTTATTTGGGGATCCTTCCATGAGATCATAGATAGAAGGGAAGGCCCTGTGAGAGGGGCACAATGCTTATAGGCTGCTATTTCCTTAGAAAATTCTGAAATTGAAAGAAAATTTAAAGCAAATAAAATTTTGTTCAAGGCATTGTGAGGCGACTTGGTATAGTCCCCCACCCCTCTGATTCGTAGCATGGTCTTTAAATTACTTGTGTGCAATTTCTATGATGCCTTGAGTCTTAGGGTTTTAGGGGATCCTGGTTAAGTCCTGTATATGCCAATCATTGCAAACCACTTGAAATGTCTTGCTAATATAGGTTGGCCCATTGTCAGTTTTAATAGACATGGGAACATATGTAATTCCAAAACATTTAAGTAGATGGGAGATGACCCTTTCTGTGGTTTCTCCTGTGGAGGCTGTGGCCATTACACAGCCTGAATAGATATCAATTACTACATGAATATATTTTAAATTTCCAAAAGATCCATAATGAGTGACATCCATTTGCCATAAAGCATTAGATTTTAACTCTTGGGGATTCACTCCAGCAGGTTGTAAAGGGCCAATGGGAAGAAAAAGTGCACATTTTTTTTAAGTCTCTGACTAGCTGTTTGTAAGCCTCCTTAGTCCTGCTTTTATGCAAATGTCATGGCTGAGGTCAGCAGAGAGGCTTGAGCTGCTAGTGTCCCTATATCCTGAGTGGCCCAAATCCAGTCATCCAGTGTTCCATTGCACACTGGCACCACTGCTGCTCTATGCTGCTTATTTAGTCCATCCCAGATCAATACCTTGGTTAGGGCTTCCCTAGGTCCTTCATGAGACACCTTCCTTTCTACCACCTTGCTTACTCTGTCAATAAACTATGGCAATTCCTCAGTGGCTTTCTGCCTTATGCCCTGTATAGAAACTATACCCCACCCCCCAAGCTGGTAACTTGCTCCAGGCTCTTAGAGCACAGAGCCTCACGTGATTGAAATAATTTGGTGGGCCTGTGGCTTGTACTGCAGGGGAACAGTATATTCTTTCTCCCAGAAAGCATTCAGCTGGGAGGCTAACATTAGTGGTGTGGTTATGACACCCCTGCTGTTCACATTCATCATAGGAGAATGCCTTCCACTTAAAAAAATGTTGTGGGCTCAAGAGCTGATCTGGCTAGGTCTTTACAGTCTTGAGGGCAATTAAGTTCAATACTGAGTGATTTGAGCATTTGCTCTGCAAGCGGTGCCTGGGGCCCATCCACTTTTACTGCCTTTTTAACTCCCTCGGGGTACCCAAAGCATGTGGATACCAAGTGGCAGGGCTCTGTGGTGTGGGGGCCATTGACTGGGAAGGCTTGCATTCCCTTACCCCAATTTTCATCTCTTATCTTATATAGATCTTCAAAAGGATCTCTGGCCTCCTGGAATGGGTTTCTGGGAGAACATGGCTTGGGCCTGTCCAGCAGCCTGATAATTTCTAAGCTATTATAGTCCCTTGTTGGCTTTGGCATTGCCTTACCAAGAGGCAGTTGCCATTGACTCTGGGAAGGATATAATCTTTGCCTGTCAGTAGAAGGTGCACTTGACCATTTGTGATCACCTCTTCCTCCACCATGAAGGCTAGTGGTACCATTTCCTGCCTCTTTCTCTCTTGCACCTATCATAGTTTCTTGCTTTGAAGTAAATTTTTCACCCCTGCATTTTCCCCCTTGTCTGTCTTTCATAGCTTCATTTTCCTTCAGGGCCATCATTATATGACAAGAGTCTGTTTCAGGGCCTCATACACTTTGCTGCATGGCTGCCACAATAGGGAAAAAATGTAGTGATAAAGTATACCCCTGTATCACTTCAGCTTGCTGCACATTTGCCATTATCTTGTCTTATATCATAGGATCAAAAACATCAGCAGCATTGATCCAGGAGTTAGTGTTTATATCCCAGAAATTCTGAGCTTTTCTCTTATTCAGGGTTAAACGTCTAGTATCTAAAGTGTGCAGCACTTGCAGCTGCAATTTGTTGGTGGAACTCAGTAGGTTCCCCATTTCCCTTTGCTCACTGCTCTGAGAGGAGCCACACTGTCTTACCTCAGTCCCTGTTCAGGCACCAGTTGTGTGGGCTCTCTCTCATCCATCGAGGAGGTCCACAGAACAGGGTGAGGAGATTGTGACTGCATAGTCACTAATCCAGACCTCCAGAGACCAAGCAGGAAGCAGGTCTGATTTTATTGTGCAGTTATCATGTATATATACTCAGGCAGTAGATAAACAAATTACAGACAGCCACCAATACAATTTCTTGCTAACTGTCCTTGCAGTGACCTGTCAAGGAGCAGGCCGCAGAGCAAGCACAGGGACTGCACCACATGGCCTCACGCCCAGGGTTGTGCCTACTAGGTAATTGGCCTGCCACTCATGTACCTAGCACAAGGGGAGTGGCCTGCCATTCAGACGCCCTTAATGTATGCAGTACTCCATGCCTTGTCCTCATACCAATTATCCCACTCTTTGGCATATATCTAAAGGATTTTAAGTCAGCATACTGCAGTTATGCAGCCACATCAACATTTATAGCAGCACAATTTACAATAGCTAAGCTATGGAACCAACCTAGTTGCCCATCAACAGATGAATAGATAAATAAATTGTGTTATATATACACAATGAAATATTACTCAGCCATTATAGCATTTGCCAATAAATGGATGGAACTGGAGGCCGTCATGCTAAGTGAAATAAGTCAATCCCCCCAAACCAGATGTCAAATGTTTTCACTGATATGTGGAGGCTAAACCACAATAAAAGGGAGGAGGGGAAAAAAGTTCAGTAGATTAGACAAAGGAGAGTGAAGGGAATAGGAATAGGAAAGACAGTAGAATAAATCAAACTTGTAGACATGAAAATGTACACATAAAAATACCTGTGAATCACACCATCATGACCATGTACAAGAATGGGGTCCTAACTATAACAAGATATATTCCATGTTTGCATAATTTTACCAAAATGGATTCTGATATCATATATAACTAAGAAGAACCAACACAAATTGTATCATATCCATACAATAGAAGTCCTATTTTATTACTCTCTTCTTGTGTCAGTAAGATATATTTTCCTCCAGAAAAATATGCCAGTCTCTTTATCTTACATGGTAAAAAAATAAAGGTGCAGTGGTAACTAGGCAGACTTAAACCACCACTACCACTACCACCACCACCACCACCAATAACAACAACAAAAATACTTTCACACATTAATGACCAATTTAATCAAACTAAAATCATGCATGCTGAAACCCTGTACCATTAACCCTAATGGTATTCATATTCCCATTAAGATCCCTTTCACACTATACCAGGAGTGATCTGTAATCTGTATGACAATTGAAAACAGCAGAAACAAAGATATGTTATTTCCAAAATTAGATAATGGAAGACATTGTAATCTCTTTTTTCTCTTCCCATCTCTGTCTCTCTGTATCTTTTTGTTTCTCTCTGTATCTCTATCTTATCTCTCTCATCTCATCTCTTGTTCAGTGGGAAGTCAGATGCCATATCATGGGTCACACAGTAGTGAAGATACCCACTCGGTGAGGAACTGAGGCCTCAAATCCAGCCCCAGCCAAGTCTTCAGATGACTAGCAAACAGAGCAATCCTATATTGCTTAGGAGATAATTATAAGGAAAATGAAACAATGACTAGACCTAAGAGACAATTTACACAAAGGAAAAAATATTTGCAAAGTGTATATCTGACAAAGGGTTAATATTCAGAATTATTTGTTTTATGACTTGATAGCATAAAACAAATAATTCTATTTATAAATAGGACCAAGCAAGGTGGGGCATGCCTGTAATCCCAGCAGCTCAGGAGGCTGAAGAAGGAGGATCATAAGTCCAAAGCCAGACTCAGCAACTTAGTGAGGCCCTAAGCAACTTAGCAAAACTCTGTATCTAAATAAAATATAAAAAGGGCTGGGGATGTGGCTTATGGTTCAGTGTTTGAGCATTACTGGGTTCGATCCCAGTACAAAAGAAAGAAAGAAAGGAAGGAAGGAAGGAAGGAAGGAAGGAAGGAAGGAAGGAAGGAAGGAAGGAAGGAAGGAAGAAAATAGGCTAAATACCTGAATAAACATTTCTTAAAAGAAGAATTAAAAATGACCAACAGATACATGAAAAAAAAATGTTCATATCAGTAACCACTGGGAGAATGTAAATCTAAACTACAGTGAGGTATCAGTTCACTCTAGTAAGAATGGCTATCTTCAGAAGTTCAGTAGATTAGACAAAGGGGAATGAAGGGAAGGGAGGGGAGATAGGAAAAAGAAAGACAGTAGAATGAATATGATGTAATTTTTCTATCTACTATGTCAATCTCACCATCGTGTACATTTAGAAGAATAAGGTCCCAATTAGAATAAGGTATATTCCATGTTTGTATGATTACATCAAAATGGATTCTACTGTCCTGTATAACTAAAAAAAAAAACATTGTCGTATGTAATGTTACTCAGCATTTTACACTGCTGTTTTGTTGAACTCTTCTATTTTTGCAAGTTAAAATACAAAAACAAGGCTATTTTCAAAAAGACTAAAGATAACAAGGGCTGGCAAGTATTTGTAGAAGAAGGAACTCTTTTTCAGTTTTATTTAAAAATTTGTCTTAATTATTAACATTAATAGTACAAATAATTGGTTTCACTGTGACATTTCTATGAATAGATTGTGGTTTGATCACATTCAACCTCCCTTATACTCTCTCTGGCCCTCCCCTCCCCCCATTCCTTGGACTCTTCTTTCCCAGTAGTCTCTGAAAGAGGAACACTTATACATGGTAGGTGAAAATGTAAATTAGTACAATCGTTAGTATAGTCATTATGGATTATAGAGTGCAGAGGTTTTCCCCAAAATTAAAAATAGAACTACAGTACAATCCAATAATACCACTACTGAGCATATGCCCCCCCCCAAAAAAAAATGAAGTCAGTAAATTGAAGAGACACCACATTTATTGTAGCACTATTCACAGGAGCCAGGATATGGAATCAACTTAGGTGTCCCTTGATACATGAATGGAGAAAGAGATTGTGATACATATACACAATGGAACAATCTTCAGCCATTAAAATCAGGAAATTCTAACTTTTGTAACAACATGGATGAACTTGAAGGACATTATGTTAAGTAAGTCAAACACAGAAAGACAAACACTGCATAATCATCTTCATGTGGAATCTAAAAGGGTAAATCTCATTCCTATGCTAGGAAGTGAAAACAGGTAATAATTGGCAATTCCATTTTTTAAAATTGATGGGATTGATTTAAAATAGGGAGAATGAAAAAGAATATATAAATGAAGGATTATTCTGGACCAATAGAAGAGAATTATCCAGTGATGAGGAAAGTTAGAGATATTTATATTGAAAAGACTCAATAGATGGCCAGAGAGTAATGGGACAGGGGAGAAATTATCACCAAATAAATATCTATGAGAAAAATGCCTAACAAAAAGACATTGTGTTAGTTTTGTATTATTATAACAAAAATACCTGAGATAATCATTTTTTTAAAAAAGGAAAGTTTTATTTTGGCTCAAATTTTGAAGGTTATAGTCATTCTATGGTAGTTTGACCCTGTAGCTTTTGGGCCTGTATCTAGGTAATATATCAATGCAGGAGTGTGTGGTAGACGAAGCTAATTACTTCATGGGATCCAGGAAGCAAAACAAAACAGGAAGGAGTCAGGGTTCCAATATCCCCTTCAAGGACATGCCTCAGTGATTTCACTTCCTTCCACTGGGCCTCACCTTAAAGATTATGGGCTTTAATAGTGTTATGGGCTGAGGAGCAAATTTTTTGCATATGGGCTTGGGGAGGAGCTTGGAACTGAATTATAGCAGATATGAATTATACTGGCATCTCATTTCCTATCAGCATGTTATATAAAAGATAGCAGTACCCTTAATTTCTTCGGTGGTTAAGAGTTGAATATTTATCTGAAATATAAGTGTTTGGGGAGTGTTTTTTTTTTTTTCCAGTATCCAAATTCCAGGTCTGAGTACCCAACATTGACTAAATTTACAGGTTTTGGCCTTAATAATAGGAACAATGATCCGATGAGCACTGGGCACTGTTTTTCTCTAATTGTTGAATTTCATTATAATACATAGTTTTAATTGGAGGGGTAATATACTAGAATTCTCTAGAATGTAAAGTATTCATTTCCCTTACTAAGATCTTAGGCAAAGCAATAAAATTTCCCTCCATCCAACAAAATAAATACTTAAATATGCTTTCTTTCACTTTTGCCCTGCCCTCTGCCCCAGTTCTCCATCATGTTGACATCATCTCGTTTGTTGGAATTAAATTGTGTTTGATATTTATTCTTTCCTAAAATTGTCTTTGCATTTAAGATAGAGCTTAACTTGTTACCAAATTAAAGTTTCTTCTTTCTCTTTTAACACTCAAAAATAGTACTCTTCAGTAATTTTAATTCAGTGCTGCTGTTTTGCTGTTGAGAAATATGAGATTTATTTAATTTTTATTTCTTCAAACATTGCTTTAGCAGTGCTACTCAAAGTGTAATATAAAGACCAGTAACTACACATAAATTGTTTCTTAACAGTTCTTTATGAGAGAGTACAGAAATAGAGTGTTACAAAACTTTTAGAGAAAATTGACAGCTATTTTTCTCATGTTGAATCTAATAATAAAGTAATTGTCACTTGTAATAGCATATCTTTGTTTTTCATTCATGCCATTTTTGAGTCTGTGATATATTCTTATATATATATATATATATTACTTGCTTTATAGCAAGAAGCAACACTTACAACAAAACATGAACATGGGTCTTCTCTTTGGATTATTTGAGAAACACAGCTTGATGTCATCAGAAACTCTGATTATGGAGACTCATGAAATCTGAGACGCTTGGGTCTCATAATCAGTGGTGCCAGAGACCACTCATCAGGACCAGAGTCCTGGAGCTTACCAAGAACAGGCTACTCAGTGTAAGATTGTTTTCTATATCACTATTAAACTTATGCAGATGGGGAGAGCTCCATGGATTTAAGTTTGAAGTAAGGATAGAGAATGGCAGAGAATTTGTCCTGAGTGAAGGAAAAGATGTGCATACCATCAATCATGTTATAGAAAGAAATGTCATTATCTTCATAATCCAAGAAAACCACAATCTTCTTCGGACACTCTTCTGTAAGAGGCTTTTCTAGAAGAACTTTTTGTGAATCACAGGCAAGAGCCCTGAATTCACCTTTCTTCTTCTCTAAGACTCTGAATTTCTTCATTGATGGTTTTTTTAATGGTGCCATCTTTTCTTCGTTTGTTTCATAAACACCTAGCACCCACTCATCATTGTCCTGGACATCTACCTCCCAATAATATCTCCCTGTTGTGAAACCTTTCCCATCAAGAGTGAGGAGGTTGCAATCTCCTTTATTATCAGCAAGAGGAAGATCCTGTGTTTCCTCTCTGCCATCTTTTTTTCTCTTTGGATCAGAATTGTTCTGGTGAAAAAGTTCATGATTTAGATTCACAGGAGCTGAAAGAAGGAAAAAAAATATCCACCATCGTATCTTTCAGAAAGCTATTGTGCAAGTGAATCCTTAAAGAAACAAAATGTGGAGCTGAAGGAGAAACAGCATCTCTGCTTTGGGTGTGTGTTGGGAGGTGGCTCTGCTCTGACCATGCATTCTAGGCTACTAGATCCATTTTATCTGTTCTTGGTGCACTGGCAGAGTGCCAGGCTGATCCAGGGCTTGCATTGATTACTTGAGAATATTATTATTTCCATGTTCTCTATAAATTAGAACCATGTTCCTCAATTAGCAACAGGTTGCACATAAACTAACCTCTTTTTAAAAAGCAACTGAATACTTTTGCCATTTTGAACACTTTTTACTTAGGGTCTCCACAGCTGACAGACTATGTTCATTTCGGTTTCCAGGAACAAGTAGATCCCACAAATAAGAAACCTGAACCAACAGGTGAAGGTGGAAACAACCAGAGTAGCTAATTCTAGCAGCAACTTTCAGTTTACCTGAATAATGGTGACTTTCTCTTTTCAGCTGGAAGATGGTAATGTGAAAAGAAGACAATAGATCAGAGGGCAGGTTAGAAGGGAGCCAAAAATATAAAACAAAAGGCACTTACCAGGCTGGAAATATTCCTTTCTCCAATCTGAAAAAGAGCAATGTAAATTGAGCCTGGGAAGAAATGTATCCATGGAATGAAAAGGAAAAAATACTTCCCACCCTGGCTCATTATTTTCTCCTCCCAATTCTCCTTACTACATTCACTAATCCTCTCAAATTCTGCTAATATCCAAAAACTAGGACAAGTTACTGCTTTCTATACTGCCTCAGTTAGAGACTCTGCCACAATGCAGCCTGGTGCTGGGGGACTAATCTTCTCCCACCTGAGCCAGGTTTGAAGAACACCTGGAGTAGCTCCTCAAGGTATCCAGGCACTGTGATCTGAAGATCTGTGTAACCCCCTCACTGCAGATGGGTGCCGTGAAATGTCCTTTTATTCTGTTTTATTTGTTTTTTTTTCCAGCCTATGACCCTTTCAGAGTAGTGCTTTAGCTTGTGGCTAAGGCCTTTAGGTAGTCCCCTATTATTTTCACCACTGTAGTCAGATTTTTACATTTTTTTCTCCAGAATCAGATTCTTCATGTGGAATAGAACTACATTTTTTTTCTTCCTAGGGTTGCTTCTCTCATAATGGGACTGGTGATTTTATTTATAGATTAGATATATTCATGAATCTTGGGACAATTGACAGGTAAGGACTTATCCATAATTCTTAACAAGTGAAGTACTGTGATTCCCTCATTGAAGTTTCCTCCAGGAAGAAATTTAACACTGTGATATTTAGAACCTATATGCCTCATGAAGAACATCCAATACCATGTATTCCATCTTCGTCATCTTAGAGACAAGGGGATTGAAGTCAAGAAAGAGAATGACCTGATTCCTCAGTTGTAATTGGTAAGAGTTGTAACTAAAACTCACATGTCCTCCCCCTTAGTACTTTGTTCTCTCCTTAAATCATAAGAACACTCATTAGGCTGTGTGTGAAGGTCTGATTTCTAGCTTACCTTTACCCCAGTGGACCTTTAATTTAATTTCCGTAAGATCAGAGATAATGGCTTATACCACCAACACATAGCACAATGTTTGGCATATAGAAATTGCACAATAATATGCTAAATGAATGACCTAGCATGTTTACGAAGTCTAACTCAATATTACACTCACAATCACATGTTCACACATACACACACTTGTAAATTCATACAATACATAGACATGGATATTAGAAGTTATAAAATTAGCTAATTCCCCCAATAGCAGATAAACATATTTTTACAAATGATATTAAAATATTTTGAAAATGATTTTCAAAGTTTTTAAACCTTAGTTTCTATGCATTTTTACTTTATTTTGAATAGGCAAAATAAGTAAAATAATAGTGTATTTTCTCCAAATTTAAAATGTATTATTTGCTCTTTTAAACATTATTTGCAATATAAAAATGCTGACGTAATTGGGTATTCTTTATTCTTCTCAAATCTCATTAAAATCACTCAATTCTTATCCTTCCTTCTCCTAGGTGGACTGATTAACAATTCATGTCAAATCCTACTCCCGCCAGGTTGCTATGGACTTTACTATTAAAAGTTATTTCTCCTTTTTTCTTAGTTCTAGAAAACAATTATTGGAACCTACAATACAAAGTCTCACACATAGGTGCCAAATACATTTTCACAACTTACAAGTACACAGATGTGCATATGTGTGTGTGTATGTGTGTGTATTTATTTATTTATTGTACTGGAGATTGAACACTTAACCACTGAGCCACATTCCAAGCCCTTCTTAATTTTTTTTTTTTTTGAGACAGTTTTCACTAAATTGCTTAGGTCCTTGCTAAATTGCTGAGGCTGACTTTGAATTCATGATGGTCCTGCCTCAGACTCCCAAGTTGCTGGGACTACAGGTGTGTTTCACCATGCCTGGCTCTTTTGTCTCTATTTATCATGCTCATAATAACAGAAGCACTTGGGAAGATTTACTACCCATGATTAACTTACCAGGATATATCAGGGCCTTCTTCCAATCTAAAAATAAAGAACAAATCCAAGTAAAATAAGGGTGGGAGGACATTAACCTGTGACCTCACATTTTTTCCCTTTTCTCCTATTTTTCTTCCACTACGCATCCTTCAGTCATTTGGTCTTTTCCTCTAAGGAGAGGGAGCTAAGGAAGTGTTTGTTCTTTTAAACATTATTTGCAATACAAAAAATGCTGCCATAATAGGGTATTCTTTATTCTTCCCAAATCTCATCAAAATCATTCAATTCTATTCCTTCCTTCTCCTAAGTGGACTGATTAACAATTCATGTCAAATCCTACTCCTGACATCTATTGACAGGCATCTGGGTTGATTCCATTGGCATTGGGGCCTCAAGTGGTGTGGGAAACACTGTCTCTTACCTTCGTGGTACAATGCCCTTCGTCGTTCTGAAAGAAAAGACATTCAGTGAGAGATTCAGAAGAGATGTGGAAAGGGGAAACAAACTTTACAGTAGACATGGGAAGAAGCAAGACTCACCAAGCTCTGCCTTGAGTTTTTCTAAAAGAGAAAAATATAAAATCCATCAAATTGAGTTTAGCTGCCCCTGAGTTTGGGAAGTAGCTATATAAATTAGGTTGGGCTTTTTAGGGCCCCATGATTTTTTTTAGTATAACTTTTTTTTTATTAGAACTTCCTGGTTATATGTAGTAGTTGGGTTTATCCTGAAAAATTCATACATGCATGGAAATTGATTTTAGTTCATGATCCCTCCCCCTTGTCCCTCCCTTGTTTCCCTCTCATCCTCTTCTCCTTTCTCCTTCCTGTATTCTATGAGTCTTTCTTTCACTTGTCCATTAATTTGTATTTGAGTGGTTCTTTAAGTTATTTTATCCTTCCCTCTCCATTTATTTTATTTTATTCTAGTTTCCACATATGAGAGAAAATATTTGCCTTTTGAGTTTTTGAGTTCAGCTAATTTCACTTAGCACAATATTCTCCATTTCTATCCATTTATCTGCAAATGCCCTAATTTCATTCTTTATAATGGCTGAATAGAACTCCATTGTATATATACACCACAATTTCTTAATTCATCCATCTACTGACAGGCATCTGGGCTGATTCCCATAATTTAGATACTATGAATCTTGCTGCTATGAATATCAATGTGGCTGTGTTGCTGTAGTATGCCAATTTTAGATCTTTGGGGAAAATACCCAGGACTGGAATAGCTTAGTCATATGGTGGTTCCATCCCTAGCTTTTGAGGAATCTTTGAACTTCTTTACAGAGTGGCTGTACTAATGTTTCCATTGATGCAGTCCTACAAACAACACCAGTGTTCCTTTCTCCCTACAACCTTGCCAGAATTTATATTCTTGTATATTCAGAATTTGTATTCTTGATCATTTCCATTCTGACTAGAGTAAAATGAAATCTTAGTATCATTTTGATTTGTATTTCCCTGATTGCTAGATATGTTAAACATCTTTTTTTTCATATATTTATTGACCTTTTGCATTTCTTCTATTGAGAAGTTTCTGTTTACATCTTTTGAGGGACCCATAATTTATATGAAGCAATTAGCAAGCATGTGTGTCCAATCTAAACTGATCAGCACTAAGAAAAGTTGCATGGGAGGTGCCATAGGGTCACAGAGGAATAAATGTCCATACTTCATGGGTGTTTTAGAATTGTTTATGTATTTCTAAAGCTTATTCCTGAAGGATAAGTAGGAAGAGAAGCTAGGGAAAGACATTTGCACAAGGAGAAACAAACAGGCTTGGTAACAGGCATGGAAGAGGAGGGTATAGTTTGAGGTTTGAGAAGCCACACTTTAGAGGCCTGATGTTCACTGCCAACTGATTTTCTCATGTGGCTTTCTCCTTTGTACAGGACTCCTAGCCCTGTGGAATGTTTGGTATCCTGTGTTTCCCTTGAGGTCCTTTAATAAACTGTGAATTCCCCGTCCACCCTATACCGTAGCTCCTCTATGAACTGATTTTCCCTGCTGCCCCAATTTACCTCGAATCTTAAGTGCCTCTTCCTTTTCATTCCTTATCTGTTGTATTTTCTGAGATTCGTTTTCCTTTTCCTTTATTTCTCTGTCTTTGGCTTGATGTTCTTTCCAACCAATGTAGCTGATCCCAATGAGCAGAAGCACCAGGACAGGGACTGTCCCAGCAAGGGCTGCTTTCCATGGAGACATCCTGGGGAAGAAGGGCTCTGAGAGGAGTATGTAGACACAGTCAGACTGTCCTGGACGAAGCCCTTCCCTCCTTCCTAGGATCCCTTCCTTGTCCTCCCTTTGCTTACCATACCCTCCTTGGGTTTCACTAACCTGGGAGGAAGATGGATGATACCTTTTCCTGACCAGAGAGAGGATTTTGGATGGAGCAGGTCACATTGCTCAGGGAGCTGTCTGTGACCACAAGGGATGATTTCACATGGAAGAGCCCATCCCAGTCTTGGGTCTGAGACTCAGAGAGGGATGGTAGCTTGGCTCCTGCCATGTCTTTCCATTGTACCTTGGGGCTTGGGAACCAGCCCCCTGAGGAACACAGCACTTGGATACCACCTTCCTTGGGTCCTGTCATGTGAACATGAGGGATGGAGCCCAAACCTGAGGAGAGAAGGCATGTATGTAAGGCCTGTGGTCCTTGTGGCTGAGAGGCCCTGAAGCTGATAGCTGAGTTGTCCTTCACTAGCCTGATGAGAAACCTGGAGCAAAGAGGTCAGCATTAGGCTGACATGTGACTCATTTTGGCATGCACTTCCTGCCTTTGCACTGTGCTTGGACTGAAAAAGCTTTTGGGTCATTCTAGGAAGAGAAAAGAATAAGAACAAGTAAAACTAGAAAATAGTTCTAGTTTTATTGTTTACTTTTATTTCTTGATTGGGTGAAAGTTAATGTTTCAAGGCATCAATGTTTATTACTCAATAAATTTTCTGGGGTCTTATAGAATGTCAAAGGATGTTCAGAAATGTTAACTTCTTTAATATTTAAAAGCTAATAGAGTTCACAAGTCTTATCCTCATTGTATAGTTTAGGAAACTGACTGTCTAAAATCAACATATCCAAGATCCTAAACCACACCAGGTTTGGAATCTAGAGGCCCTCACCTTGCCTTTTATCTTACATTATCACCTAAGCTACTCACCAAGTTACATACCTATGACATTCAATTCTATAATGGCCTCCTGTGAGATATCACCATCTTGAAAACGACACCGGTACTGGCCATTGTCAGAGGCCTTCACGTGCTGTATCAGCAGGGCCACGTGCCCCTTGCTGATGGAGTCTCCCACCAACTTGGTCCTACCGCGGTACTCCAGCATCTGTTCTCCACTTTGTTCCTGTCCATTCTGGACTACCAGCACAGCTGGGGAGATCTGGGCACGGTACCACCAGATGTGCATGCGGGCTGCACTCTGTTCAGGATACAGCTGGCAGGGCAGGGTAACATCCTCCCCAAGCAAGGCCATGATGGGCTCAGCTGGTCCATTCACAGAAAACCCAGATACTACATGGGGATCAGAGACAGATTGGAGAACGAGTTAGGGTGGAATGAAAGGAAAAACACATTTTCTTATTTAGGGACTCAAATATATTTCTTCTTTGTATTATTTTCCAAAAAAAGTAAGATATATTTTAAATTTATATATATATATATATATATATATATATATAAATTTATATATGTATATATATACATGTATATATACACACATATTTAAGTATATACCCTTAATATATATACCTACTTAAGTATATACATTTAAATATAAATCACATCTTTCATACACTAAATTGAATATACCTGTGTGTGTGTGTGTGTGTGTGTTATCTATCTTCTTCAACTGTATTTCCCTCACTCTCTATCAACAGATTACATTAATTTCTCTGGAAGTAACAACTCTTGTTAGATTGACATTTGGAAAGATATATATTTCCTATACATTTCCAAATAGTAATTATTAGTAACTTCTGCAAAATCTATGTCAAAGCGATTTATTGAGAAATAAATGTGGCAAAGTAACTCATCTATTTCTCTCCTTACTCATCCCTTTGTCTTCTAACACTCTGCTTCTAGGAAGGTAAGAAGTCATTTCTGACCCTGAGATTTAGGTTGCTGTATACTGGTACAGTAGATAAATTATCCCAAGATAAAAAGTGGAATTTTAAGGTGAGGTAGGCCTTTTTGTTTTGGGAAATAACAATAAAGGCTTAGAATCACAGAGAATTATTTTAATGAAAATCACTTTCTTGTGATGGGTGGACTTAGAGGCTTCTAGCTTAGGTATTAAGAGTCAGGCACCTCTTGCCAGTAAGGACAGTTGGATTCCTAAAGGAGGAGAGAAGAAGAATGAGGGCCAAAATAGGGACCTTGTATGAATGATAAAATATGCTCTTTCCTCAAGTCGCTTCAGCTGTTTGCCTGAAAATTATTTTCTGTAAAAATCTACAATGGCTGAAAGGTAAGTGGTGATCCCTGGGCAAAAGTGACATTGGCAGAGGCACAACATATTATGGATATTGTGAGCGGTCAGGACTTATGGGCCTACAATGAAATGTTGTGATCTGGGATGGGATAAGTTCACTAAGGGTAGTTTTATTGATGGCCAGGAGACCTTAGTACAAACGGCAAGGGCATATGAAATTAGAGGAACTGGCCATGGCCATCTTGTCCCAGAGAGTGTGGGTGTGGCATTCCTGGGCAAAGAGCATTGTAGGGGCTTTTGTGCTAGACTGAGGCCACACTCTCTTTTCCATTCTTGCATAAAACCCAGGGTATTATTATAACACAAGGGATATGTGTTCATTGCTGCCTGATACCAGGGTGTTGGCATAAAAATTATTTAAGCAATTCAATTTAGAAAAGATTATGTAAGGGGCTGGGGTAGTGGCTCAGTGGTAGAGCACTTGCCTAGCATGTGTGAGGCACTGGGTTTGATTCTCAGCATTGAATATAAATAGATAAAATAAAGGTCCATTGACAACTAAAAAATATTTTTGTTAAAAAAGAAAAGAGTATTTAACATTATGTGTAGCCACAATGTGGTTAAAAAAAATCATTGTTCCATATAAATGGGATCGTTATATATCAATTTCTACAAAAAAATGGACTTTCAACCATTTTGGTACACATAATCAGATGTACTTAATTGTTTTTTACAGACTATTCCATCATGTTCAAGATTTTCCTATGTGGGTGCACATTTACATTACTTCCAACTTCTTATTACTACAAACAGTCCTGTGGTAAGTATAATACACAAACACATAGAAAAGCACTTCTATAGAATAATCATAGAATTACTGGGTCAATGAGAACAGACATAAAAATTTTGATATCACCTAACTGACATCAAATTAAGGAGATTGACAAAAATGTCATTCTTGTGATCTCACATGTGGCTTCTCTCTAAACCAAGAGTCTGAAAATTTTATCCTGAGAGGTTCTTTCATCTTATGAAAGAGGGACTCATGTCTCAGAGAGAATAAGTGATTTTTCCAAGATTATAATTCAGTAGAGCTCAGGAAACTTGAGTCTAAATTCTGTGTACTCCATCCATCTTTCTTGGCAGTGTGAATATTACAGAGTACAGCTCAACAAACAGACACATCAAAAGCCTACAGCCTAAAATCACCAATACTCAGCAAAGATTTTGATCAATATTATAGCTCTGAGATTCATAAGGTCTACCCAAAGAAGTAAGGGGCTTTGATATGAGGGAGTTTTCTTGGCCAATGAATGACCAAGTGTTTTTCATTTATGTCACAGGAACCTTTGAAAACAAGCCAATAAATAAAAGCATGAGGCAAAACACTGACCTGTTGAGCACTGTATGGACACCAGGAGAAGGAGAGAGAGGAGGGAGCCAGCTGGAGACAAACCTGGAAAACTCACCATCTTAGAGCAGACGGAAAGGTTCACTGTGACCAGCAGATACTCTGTAGGAGAAGGTGGTGAGAAGGTTCTAAGGAAAAACAAAAATAAACGACCCCTCCCCCCCCACACACACACACAAAAAAAACACATCCTTTGTTCAAAGACTTAGCTTTATCCACAGATTTTTGACTGTTTCTCCCTCACAGACCTGAATTCAAATGCCACCAACTCCCATTTCCTCCCCAGTGGGTTTTCCTTCTCTCTTTCTTCTGAAAACCGTTTCCCCAGCAGCTGTAGTAAATAGCAAATCATTCCGGTATGCTCTGTTGACTCCCTTGCTTTTCTGTGGGTTCCTCTTCTCCCCAGATTACTCTTGCAATGGAAAACCCTGAGTTCAATGCTGAGAAACAGTCAGTCACAGAACTATTCCCCTTAGCTAATCTATCTTCAGTCTTCTTGCATTTGTTTCTTTCTTTATTTACTTACTTGATTTTTTACTACAAATAGCTCTTGTGTTTTAACTCCCAAGAGAGACCTTTTCTCACTATATGTCTCCAAATTCAAGCCCCTCTTTCTTCAGGTTCGTACCCCCCACTGACACCTATATATCACCACACATTTCTCTCTTACCATCTCAATGAAGCTGATGGACTCCAGGAAGCTCTGGTCCCCTGAGCGGCCTACAAACCTTGTTCCACAGACTGTCTGCACCTGGTTATTCTTGTGGTCAGCACCCAAGCAACAGTTTTCCAAACCATCAATAAAGAGGGAAAATACTCTTATAAAGAGGAACACACAGGGAAGCCAAGAGGAATTGGCTTTTGTGTGCTTCTAAAGTGAGTCTAAAGAGAAAATCATAGTCCATCTCCTTCTTCTCAGTTACTTTGAAAGTGGAAGTAATAAAACTCACTTCAGGGACTTTGGAGTGGGTTGAGCTACAGAATGACAGGAACTAGAACTTGTGCCTTTGTTGAAAATGCTCAGTGTACTTCCTTCTTCCACCTGCATAATTCTGAAAGCACAGTTTTCAAGAAGGAATTATCCTGTGTGTGACATTCAGATCTGTGGTTCATCAATGATTATCTCACAAAGTTAATTGATTAATAAGTAAAACCAAAAGAAAAATACTTCTTACCATACCATAATTGACTTTGGAGGGTATACTCAGAGCTGTGCAGAGGAAAGTCAGAGCTCAGAAATGGAGATCTCTGTGCTTTAAGAAACTTAGGGGTCCCAATAAAAGAATAAAAGTGATAACACAATTACAGTGATAACACAAGTACAGTGTTGAATGTAGGATGTGCTCAAAAGAAGTTTTCTTTCCATTTTATCTTTCCAAGTTTAATTCACATTTCTTCATATCATCAAGGATTACAGATAATCAGAGACACAGATAGCAATTGCATAAATACTAGTGTTAATCCACTAATAGTCTTCCCAAAGTTATACCACAATCTTAAATAAACTCTCTTTTTATCTTTTATTGATTTTATTATTTTTTAAAATACATGACAGCAGTGAAATGCATTAAAATTCTTATTATACATATAGAGCACAATTTTTCATATCTCTGTATATAAAGTATGTTGACACCCAATTCAAGTCTTCACACATGTACTTTGTATAATGATGTCCCAGTGAGGTACTTTGGGCTTTTTATGAAATCAAATTCATACAGATATAATTTGCATACAATGGATGAAAATGCATGGTTTTTGTTCAGATTTCAAAAATGCTTACACTAATGCAACCACCATCTTGATCAAAATATGGAGCATTTCTTTCTCTTGAAAATTTCCCTCATGTTTGCTGTCAGTCAATGTAACTCTGAAGAGACAAACATTCTGATACAAATTATGATACAAATCACGGTAACTTTGTCTTGCATAAAACTTCAAAAATAACAAAATAGGAGCAATACATATGTGTGCATTTGTAGTTGACTTTTTTGGAAAAACAAAATGTTTTTTGATATTCAACCATGTTGTGTGTATCAGTATTTTGTTTGTATTTATTGCTGCATAACATTGCATTGTATAGATATCCTATCATTTATTCCTTTACAGGTCTCTTCAGGGTTGCTTTCCTTCCTGATTCATAGCCTCCTCCCTCAATTTAGGTACTTTCATATCACACTAGGTAGCCCTCCTCCCCAAGGCTACCCTGTCTCCCTTGGGTTCTGACACCACACCTAACAGTTTTATCTCTGAAATACAGAGCAATTCAAAGGGAAAACTGAAGGAGTTAATACATTATTTACCTCTTGTTTGTTTTGAAATGTATAATGAATGTCTATGTGCATATTCTATTCTAAAATGTAAGAAAAATAATACATATTTCCAACAAAGATGAAAAAATAAACTTGAAAAACTCATATTCAAATGTTAGAAATTTTCTCCAATAATGGGGAACTAGGTAAAATTGAGTTATCTGTGGGGAATATTGAGGGAATTACCCTGAGTACATACGTATCCAATGTTTGTGTATTTTAGAGAGAAAGATGTTGAAGAAGATCAAGATAGAAGAAAAAATCTACAAATTTTTATTGATTTCAAAAATCAGCAGTTTTAAAAAACAGTATGAATAGTTTTTTTCCTATTTGTTTAAGAAATATGGAATAATAGACTTCTAGGCCAAAAAAATGATATTTATTTCTGGGAGGTGAAAATATGGATGCTTCTGCCTGTAATTTTACTTATCTCTAATTTTCAGATTTTTCTAACACAAAAATTAAAGAATAATGAGTATAAAACAGATTTTTACATATATTCAAATATGAATGTTCCAGTGCAGTTGTCTCTCAGGGAGAGTTTGAGTCTGATTTAAAATTTTAAATTGTTTTCCAGAAGCATAATGACACCATCTATACCCATGTCAAATCCCTTTGTGGAAAAGTAAACCCAATAAGATTAGATATTTAAACAAGTTTTAAAAGGACTACTTGAAATGAATAAATATTTGGGTATTTACTTATATAGGCAGACCTGGAAAAGCTTTGCTATTCTAAGCCCAGTGGAGGAGGGGGTTAGATGAGCTATTGAGTCTACTAACCAATCTTAATTGCTTTAAAAGGATTTCTGTTAACCAAATGCTATGAGAAATTGTTGGATCTTATCAAGCCATGAAGTAAATATTTGATATAGCATAGTTATTATACTATTTAAAACCTCTATAACTTCACTTATCCATTCTGTAATGATACTATTAATTTCTGCTTAATTGTGATTTTAAATTTCTTTTTGAGTTCCCAGTTGATTACATTTTTGCATTCTGCTGTTATTGCAAGTTATCTGTTTTAATGAATATCCATGTTTTACAGGGAAATCTTGTTACTTTGAATGCTTTATAAAATTTATTTTAATTTTAAAATTAATGTTATTCCACATATGATTTTGTTAGAATATATCTAGTTTGCATTTATTTAATTCATATTTTGCTGAGTCTCTCTCTCTCTCTCTCTCTCTCTCTCTCTCTTTTAAGAAAAAAAAAGGAAAAATAAGTTTTATTACCTGGCTAACAAAGGAGAAACACAGGGGACTCCTGTCCCAGAGACTGTGATTCTTTGCTAATCTCTTATAAACTACTTATAGATATTCAATCTTATATCCAGAATTTTAAATTACCCTGAGTACATACGTAATGTATGTAAATAGAGCTGTCTTTATTTTTCTTTCTTTCTTCCTTCCTTCCTTCCTTCCTTCCTTCCTTCCTTTTTTGCAATACTGTGAATTGAACTTGGGACACTTTACCACTGCATTATATCCCCAGCCTTTTTATTTTTTTTTTTTTATTTTCAGACAGAGTTTCATTGAGTTGCCAAGGCTGTACTTGAAGTTGTGATTTTCCTGCCTCAACCTCCCAGATATCTAGGATTATAGGCATGTTCCATTCTACTCAAGGAGCTTCCTTGATTATTTCAGAAATGAATCAAGAAATTATTTCTTGATTATTTCTGTCATTAAAAAGAAGGAAGAAAAACATTATTTTAGAGTTCATAGGATTTTAAGGATTACAAAACAAAAATGAATTTTAGAGACAGAGGAAGCAATTTCATCCTTACCTCTTCTCATTGTCCACAGCACGGAAGGAAGATGAAAGGGTTCAGGAAATATTTTGAGGGCTATTATTAATGTTTATCTTTTACCTGGTTGAGGTGGATTAAAAGATGTCAGTGGAGGAATTTTTATGCCTGGGAGGAGAGTCAGAAATTTGGACTGTGTCTGTCTTTTCAATTCTATAATGAAATGAGTTTCCTAAAAGGTAGATGAAAATATATCACCAGAATGCCAAATATATTCATGTGAATTGAGCTGGACTTTTTAGTAAAAATTGCTAGTACTTATCGAAGCATATGTGCTATGGAAAGTAAATTCTTTACATGCATAAATTCATGTAATCCTCATTAAAAACTGAGGGTATGTATTGTTACTGAATTATTATCAGATGAGGAAACTGAGGCCCAAAATCATAATCAGGATTTTAACTAAGGGGGCCAAGTTCTATTAATATAAATCATGTAAAAAATTTAGTAAAAAAAAAAAAAAAAGGGAAATCAGTTGTTCTGGATTCTCTCTATACCTTGAAAATATGTATTTATTAGATCATCCTACAAAGTTGTTCCTAATGATTAGTTCCTTGGAATACAGTGTGACCATGCTCCCCTGCTGTGTCCCCAGAAATGAGTGTGAAGAACATGGAGCTACAGTGATTTCACTCCCAGTTCTCAGTGGCTGTGCACATCTATCAAGATGGAATGGAGCGGGCAGGAGAACAACTAGTAGATTTCAGAGGGAGGGCAGAATTGGTGAAGTACTGCATATCTAGGGAAGAGTAGCTTTGAGAATCTACATTCTCCAGGTCTTCCCTGACCCTTTTTTTAAGGCAATCATTTTAAAGAAGCCATCTTGGAGCTAAATGTAATAGGTGAATAATTATCGGAGAATACAGACCACTCTCAGAGGAATGCAAGTATTCTGTATTTGATTTGGAAGGGATGATAGTGAACAGGACAGAGAGGCAGGTATGTTTGGAGCTGGTCAACATCCTAGACACTGAATTTAACACCAAGGGCTCTTGATCTATTTACACATTTGTTTTGATGTACTTTATTTTTCTTAGGGTAGCAAATAATATTTTATTAATTTGGTAAAATATCACCTATTAGCCACTAAAAATGAAAAGTGTATTTATGTATAATTACATATGTAATAGATCAATATAAGTTCAGTCAGTCATTGAAGATAAAGCTGAAGTCTGCCATGACTACTTCTATAGTTACTTCTCAGAAACGATAGCTATCATCAGTTTGGTGGGGATTTTTCCAGAACTAGAACATCTCCATGCATATTTATATCTGTAAAATACAGGATATCCTTTGCCCTTCTTTTGAGTTTAAATAGCAATAGTATACATACTTTTTGGCAATTTGCTTTTTCTTTTCTCCCCAAATGTGTTTCATACAGATTTCATGTGAGTAATATACTAGATATATCATTTATTCAATAATTCCTCTACTTATAGATATTTAGGTTATTCCCAACTTTTAAAATTTGTTACTTTTTAATATATATGACAATAGAGTGTGTTTTGATGTATTATACATACATGGAGTATAACTTATCCTAACTGGTACCCCATTCTTATGGTTGTACATGATGTGAAGTTTCACTGGTTGTTTATTCATATAAGAACATAGGAAAATTATGTCTGGTTCATTCTACTGTCTTTCCTATTTCCATCCCCTCTCCCTTCTCTTCATTCCCTTTGTCTAATCCAGTGAACTTCTATTTTCATCCCCAACCCCGAATTGTGTGTCAGCATCCACATATCAGAGAAAAAGTTCAGCCTTTGGTTTTTCTGTAACTGGCTTA